GATAGCATTGAACCAAAAAATATATATATATTCTAGGAGATCAGTAAAACCATTTAAAGAGCGGTCACAAAAATAGAGCATATTCACACGCGCGCGCGCGCATACACACACACACACACACACACACACACACACCACACACACCACACACACACACACACACACACACACACACACACACACCACACACACCACGAGACGTACCTGCTTCTCAGTGTGTATACACAGAACGTTCACTTCAGTCCTCGACTGTTTTCAGAACTGAAGTATTCTTTGCTGGTTCAGTTAGCGATTGCGATGGCCGTAATAACCCTTCAGAGCTTGACAGGCCTTATGCCTTACATTAAACCAAGGAGTATATTGCATATGTTTTCCAGTTCAGCAAGAGAGCGTTGATCTCTCTAAGAACAATATTATAGAACACTACGAGAACATTATTATAGATGCTCCGATAAAGTAAATGTTTACCAATTCGGTGAATTGCAAATCTGTTTAAATTCACAATCCACCAATTATTTGCTGTGAGGCCAGAGTGTACCTGAACTAGACTGTTAGGCAAGAGGGACTCCCGCCGTTTACCCGCAAGACCAGCCCATGGCTCCCTTCAGTGCTCTGGTACTGGTTCAGTGCACTTTGAAACTATTCACTATGAAGGTTAACGATGGCATACCTGTTTCCTTCATCCCATTTCCTACACAACTCGAGTCGTGGCATGTATATATACAGACACGATCACACACACACTACTCACAGCTCTGTATAGCTCTAGTCCCAGTCACACACAGTAGTAAATAGCTCTGTATAGCTCTAGACACGGTCCTGTAGAGTACTCGTGGCTCTGAAACATCACAAAACACTTCCCCCACACATACCCCTCAACATCTCTGAAAGTTCCTACACACACAACCGCATCCTTTGTGCAACTTCATACTCGAGAAAACACACACTTTTATCCATCGTCTCCAACCGTTATCTCCTCCGGTCTCTCATCTTCTTCCTAAGTCAAACTCATCTCCTTCACGACACCATTAAAGGGACATTATATTAAATAATTTATTAAGTCTACCCCTAATACCTTAACTCGGTGTTATTTTCTTAATGGTATTCTCAGTCTTCAACGCAAGGGATATTTTTATCAGTGGATGAACAAGATAATTAAATTAGCTCTCTGATCAAGTTTGTCTTGACGCTAAAACAATTTATGATTAATTATGGAGTGATTATAAGCGCTTGGTGTGCAAAATGCAGGGACCATCTTCCATGCAACGTATCTCTTATGAAATAGAACTCAATATAAATAGGACCAGCTATAGTACAGTACTTGTGATTTGGACAGACCAATGTACAGCTAAAGGCGAATCAGGTTTAAATGTAAATGCATGAACTAGGATCAAAAAGGTGTGTGTGTGTGGGGGGGGGGGGGGGGGGATTTGTAAGGGTGTGTGTGCGATCGAAGGTTTTGATCAATTTATGAAGCACGTTTCATCAATAATTTGTATGTGCTTCACTCCGGAAGAGTAATACATAATTCACCAAGCAGCCAAATTATTCCCTCGTGTTGTAACAACCAAGGTCAACCCCCCCCCCCCCACCAGCCAAGCACGTGACCCACCTCCAACACACACACACAATTCTCTCTCTCTCTCTCTCTCTCACTCTCTCTCTCTCTCTCTCTCTCTCTCTCTCTCTCTCTCTCTCCTCCTCGTCTCTCTCTCTCTCTCCCCCATCTCTCTCTCTCTCTTCTCCGTCTCTCTCTCTCTCTCTCTCTCTCTCTCTCTCTCTCTCTTTCTTTTACTTTCCGGTCATAGCAGAAACTTTTTTTCCACCCGATGCATCTGTTCACCTTGCAGTAAATAGGTACCTTGGAGCTAGAGACCTGCTACAGGCTATATCCCTTGGATATGTATGTGTGTGAAAAACATGTGTAGTAGATATGATAGGGGAAAATAGATCGAGAGACAGGACAGTCGAGAACTGACGGTTAGAAAGGCGGAGTCCAGGAACTAACAACTCGATCCAACAGGCACAAATTGTAAATACAAATGCAAATACAGGCATTTAAATCACTTTACATCTCCTACGTGAGACCAGTCTTAGCTTGCCACCCTATCATATCCCTATCATATCCTTGCCGCCCTAAAGAAACGCATAAGGACACTAGAAACGGTTCAGAAGTTTGCGACGAGGGTTGATATGAAGAGAGCCTGAAAGAACTTGACAACGCTAGAAAATAAGCACAGAAATAAAACATGATAGAATAATAAAAAAAACTTAGGGGGGGAATTGACAGTGGAAATAGAGGACATGTTCACCACATAAACCATTAGAACAAGGAGGCGTGGGTGGTGGCTTGAGACTCACACGAGTCATAGAGATGTTAGAAAGTTTTCATTTTGCGTAACAGTAGTGGGGAAATAGAATGAACTTAAGGATCAGGTTGTAGAAGCAAACTCCAGATTATTGTCTTAAAACTAGATATGATAGAGAAAGGGGTCAGGAGTCATTGCTTTAGACAACCGGCGGCTAGAAAGGCGGGGTCCTAGAGCTAATGCTTGATTCTGCAGGCACAGATAGGTGGTTTCACTGCCGCCGGTAACGAGAGACAAAACGGGTGTCTTAAGGGTCATTTGATGTGAAGCAAATTGCTCCAATGAATATCTGATTAGTAGATATGCAGACTCGAGGCTTATTATTATTATTAATTTGCTGTTTCCTCTTCAAGGCTCCACTATTATATATATATATATATATATATATATATATATATATATATATATATATATATATATATATAATATATATATATATATATATAATAATAATAATAAAACCCTAATTTTCATGAAGTACTTGATTTTCAAATGTGTTTTCTTATGGAATGATAAAGTTTTTTAGCTGTATTATAAAAGGTTTGCGATTTTTCTTTTTCAAATCAAGCCAAACCTAACATAACAGTCAAAAATTCATGTTCCTAATATATTAATTTTGTTAGGAAAGAATTAATTAGGAAAGATGTATATTAAATAACCCATTCTCTAGTGTCTGGCAAATTGGACCTTATTTACTAAAGAAACTAGTAGTAGTGAGTGTATTGTGCAATATATATATATATATATATATATATATATATATATATATATATATATATATATATATATATATATATATATATATATATATATAGCGAAAAGAGTAACAGCAAAAATATTTAGTTTAGGGATAAAACCTAAGCGGCCGGTCGACGACAACTTGTTCGAGAGGAGGGGAATAGAATCCCTTTGTTTTTGGCGAATATTGGGAATATTTTTCCTTAAATTTCCAAACGTTTTGACTGTGTTAGTAATCAATTTGTCCTCCGTGAACCACCGTGCTCTAACCCACGCCTCGGCAGATGTATTTGTAGGATTACGTTTTAAACACGCATTATTTTCTGAATTAACACTGAAACGTCCTAATTATTATTCTGCTTCATGTTAATATTTTGTACCAGGAACGAATATTCTAATTGCAAATATACTGTAATCTTAAATACTTCCTCGGAATGGTAGATAGTAATCTACCTATGTGACATGTGGATAGTAATCTATGGATAGTTTTGTTGTATTATGCAATTGAGTGGGTATTTGTGGGCTGTGGTGGTGGGAGTTGGGGCTCTGGTCTGAGGCAGCCAGGTGGAGTAGGTAAGCGTGCGGCGGCGGGTTGGTTAACATCAGGTTGGGAGATATTCTCTGTTCTTAACATTAATGCTCTGCTCGCTGCTTAAGGCTTAAGACTACGGGTGTTCCTTTTAATGACGTCTTCTTCACTTTACGCGCGTGTCTCTACTCATTCTCTCTCACCTGGTGGGTCTCGTGTCTCACTTGCTGTGTCTCTCGTTCTGTCATCTCGTACATCCACTTAACGTTGTTGTTGTTGTTAAAGATTTGCTACCTGGAACAAAGTTCCAAGTAGCACGGGCTATAGTGAGCCCGCAGTGCCTTATCCACTTAACGAATTTTACCTTGCGTGAAAGAAGTGTGAAAGTAAAGAAAAACGCACTTCTCACGAGAAAGCGCTGAGCCATTGCGACTATATGGCACTTGGAAGGGACATGAGAAGAATGAGTTAGGATGAGACGGAGAAAAGGAATGGTGCTCAAATACTTGGACAGTCGGGGATTGAACGCCGACCTGCAAGAAGCGAGAACGTCGGTCTACCGTCCAGTCCATATAGCTGGGCGACGAAAATAGTCGACGCTGGTTGCACGAGGCTGGTAACCAAATATGTGGCAGTTCATCCAGACGAAGACGTCTTTCCTTTGTATCTAACGACCCTTACGTGGTTCGGTTCAGAACATGTCCTTATCGAGGCTCGTACACTGTTCCTCATCCTGGGAACCACTCCCTCTGGAGGAATTACCTCAAGACCATAATTAATCACGCGGCCGTGCCATACGCATGCACGGAGGCCACGGTTCTCCTTGGCGTGTCCACGTATTCATAAGCACCCCCTCCCCTACTTCCCCCAATTTGGCAATAAATTACTGCAAAGACCACAATTACAGTCAGAGCCATAAATCGTCTAGCCCACACAATCGAGCTGGGCTATTAGGCTGGAATTAAATAGACCCTCCTATGTACTCCAGGCCGCCATATGGTGAGCAACGTCTTAAAGAAAACGGGGGGTGGGGAAGGGGAGTGGTTTGGAGAGACTGTCAATCAGTCAGTTCGTCCCGACTTACCTGTTATGGTGGCCAGTACCACCACTGGAAGCAGGACCAGTCGAACGAATTTCTGCGTCCCTCTGTTGATCTCCATATTTTCCCTGACCACTTAGTTGTGCTGCTGCTAGTTTAGGAGGGCCGGGAGAGAATAGGGTATTGTGGGTATCGCTCCCCCCATGAATGATTAATCCTTGCAGGAGAAGTCAGTGGGCAGCTGGAGCCATCCGTCAATCCAAGATACAGTTCACATACAGTAGTAACTCTCGGGAGCCATAGCGGCATCCCATTGTTATCTCATGAGGATGCTGGCAAACTTGGTACTGAAAATTCTTTACAGGTAATACAAGATACACTTCTCAATGAATAACTAAAGTCAGAAAGTTTTACAAAAAAAAATGCGTTAATTTGTCGTGGAAAAAAAGTCGCAGTGTCTATTTTGTGTAACCACCACCAGAGATCCTAAAAATTTTAGTTGATAACAGAGTGAACACAAGCGCGCGCACCGCTACGTAGCTACGAGGTAGCGGGGTTGGGGGCGTGCAAGCGAGAGAGAGGTAACCTTCCTCGACCAGCGCTGAGCGGTGACTGAGCTGGCCAGCACGTGGAGTCGTTCAAATACCGAGGTGTTACTCTGTCAATCCCCGAGCCCGCCAAATATCACCTGAAAAATCACGAATTTTTCCCCTTTTTTACACGCGGGGAGGAAGACCCTGACGCCCTTAGTATCGTGCATACCCAGCGGAGGCGGGGGATTTTATAGTTCATTTTATTATTCCTGGCGTCGTTTGCGAAATAGGAAATATGGAAGAATAAGAAACTCATCACAGGTAGCGAGCACAAAACAGGCTGACGCACGCGCAGCAGCTCAAGAAGGGTTTCCGATGTTCTGGACTTCATACCTGGGTTATTTAGCGTGTATATACGTACTCCGCCAAGTGTTGAAATAGGATACAAGGCCCTTGGCGGGGATTTAGGTCAACAATCGGACAAACCCAACAACAACACCCGGGTTGCCTTATATTAACCCTCAGCACCCCCCTCCTTTTTTTTTTTGTTTTAAGATTTCCCACTCGTAAAAGCACGACATTGGTCAGACAGGCAAGGCGTGAAATAGTGAAGATTTATGCAGCTTTGTGTGTGTGTGTGTGTGTGTGTGTGTGTGTGTGTGTGTGTGCGCTCGCGCGCGTGCGTGCGTGTGTGCGTGCGTAACGCGGGTCGCGTTGTAGGCCCAGGTGAGCGTGCTTATAAAACCAATTTTTATGCTGCTGACGAACACATTTTACTTTATATGATTAATTTATATCGATTTATCTTACTATTATAATTTGTTTATGTACCAACATGCAAAGTTTAGTTTCTGTGATATAAATCATGAAAGGTTTGATGTGAGACCAGACTGATAGACTGACAGACCAACGTTAACAAGTATGTTCATGTTATCTCCTCTGATAAAAGACATAACTTAGTGTAACTCATGGACTCAATTTCCAGTTATTCTTAAAAAAAAAGAAGTTATTTTGTTTATGTAATTCCTTCAGAATTTTATATAATACGAAGCTGTTTTTCTCAACCCACTCTGTACAGCCTGTTCTCTCATGTCCACTCTTAAGTAATTGAATACATGGTCGTACACTCTTTGGCCAGTGTGGATTTCAACTAAAACCTAGCAGGTTAAGACTAAAATTAGTCCTCAGACCAAGTCCATTCCATCCAGCGGTCGACCCCAAAGACGCATTCATCAATTTTATCATGCTGTTCATTCAAAAAGGGATTTTCTCCAATATAAACTATTATATATATTAGCATATTCTGCATATTTAGGCATTGGTTAGGTTAAGTGTTGGATTCTGTTGGTGATTATTTGTAGTACGTGGGTGAAACATTTACAGCGTTGTGGTTCGAAAAAAAATTGGTCAGTGAAGCACTTGTTCCGGAAGTGTTCGAACGAAATCAGTTGTGATTCGTGTGTAAACCGTTTTTCATTCATAAACATGGGGGGTTTGGCAGGTGCATGGAATGGACTTTGGCCTCTGTTCATTAGGACGGGCTGGGAAATGCAGACTGTGTATATGCAATGAAATCATAATGGCGTGATTTATCATTGATAAATCATGCAATTTTATCATGCGTGATTTATCTTTGAAAATCTCTTAGAGGTAATCGAGTGACTTGAACCAGCGTTCTTGTTACATCCAGACACCTTCCTTAACTGACTCGACCATAATGGTCCGGAAATCGCCTGAACCCTTGTTAACTTCAGGATGCAACAACACGTACAGTATTTAAGGCAAAGCTAAGATGTTCGGCCCCGTCAATGCGCCCTCTCCTTAAAAACAACTCGAAGCTGGAGAACGTGCAGAGATTTGCTACCAGATTACTTTTTGAACTGGGAACGGTAAGCAACACGGAAAAGTTGTAGAAACACAGCCTCAGAATGTTGGAAAAGCAGGAATGAGGGCTGACATAGTCGCTGAATATACACGTTTAAGGTGTGTATTGACATTAGAAAAAATAAGTTTGGGTTTAGAAATAAGAGATCGAGAGAATATCGCATAAAACAGGATAAGGAAAGGGAATTATCAGGAGAAGGCCAAGCCATTACGACTATATAGCACTCGGAAGGTATTGGGATAAGGATTTGGGATGGGACAGGGGGAAGGAATGGTACTCAACCACTTGGACGGTCGGGGATTGAACTCCGACCTGCATGGAACGAGATACTGTACTTTTTCAAAAAACTTTCCCAATTATAAATATTCAACCATTTTTTATTAAAGTTGATTGAAGGCGAGCTTTCAGACCATCTTGAATTGATAAAATGAGGTTTTCTACTCAGCTGAAACGGCGGGGCCCAGGAGTTGAAGTGTAACCTAATGGTGAATACAGGCGTGCGCGCACGCGTACTAACACAGTAAAAGAGGCAAACACCTTGTGCTTTTCACTGCATGTACTCGCCTACTTGTACTCACCTAGTTGTGCTTGCGGGGGTTGAGCTCTAATTCATTGGGCCCGTCTCCCAACTGTCAATCAACTTATTTTTTTCACTCTCTCTCTCTCTCTCTCTCTCTCTCTCTCTCTCTCTCTCTCTCTCTCTCTCTCTCTCTCTCTCTCTCTCTCTCTCTCTCTCGCTCGCGCGCGCGCGCACACACACACACACACACACACACACACACACATACACACACACACACACACACACACACACACACACACACACACACACACACGTGTGTGTGTGTGTGTGTGTGTGTGTAACGAACATACCAAAAATCGAACGCATTTTCAGAGAAACGTGAGCATTGTTAGCTGAAGGTTTCAACGTGGCCTTCGTCAGGCTGGAGCCCAAGGAGTGGCTGCACAATAATTAGGTTCCTCTGACCGTCTTACGCTCTCATTTTCAAGTTCTGAAGTATAAGTCATTCTTCTGGATTTCAGACAGCAAAAATAGAAATATTTCGGATTAGAAATATAATTTGTTAATGGAAATAAATTAACATTTTGGGAAATCTGATATGTCAGGGCTTTGGCGTGATTCCTTCTGGTTTCATTACACTTGTCGAAGTTGAACTCTATCTTCCACTTGTCTTCCCCTTCTTGGTGTGTCAGTGTCATCTTGTAATGATGTATTTTTGTATGCGTATGTATATGTATTTGTATGCTCGCGCGCGTACGTGTGTGTAAAACGATCAAATTGACAAGAGACGAAGAAAGACAGATGTGAAGTGACTCAGAGAGAGAGAGAGACAGAGAGAGAGAATCAGCATCCTCAAACAAGAGATAAATGTAAGCAGTCTCTCCTCCTCCTTGGAATTCCAACGCCATGCATAAAGTTAGACAGGAGAACCCCCCCTTGAGAGTGCCTGCATCTCCAGCTTCCCAATATTCATGAATAATAAACTTAGGAATGTAGGAGAATAACCTTCATCACAAAGATGTCTTCTCGGTCTTTAGCACTAAAGATGCAGGTAAAGCTGCTTTAACTTTTGATTCGTTTTTTAATGACTATTTCGTGGTGCGTTGTGTCTTTATTAGTGAGCAAAGTTTTGTGTGTATAATAGTCGCTTATACTGACCCCGTAACAAAAAAAAAATCTAATTTTTATGATTGACAGTTTCTTCAAAATCAGACACTTGATTCTCTGGTTATTTACTCAAGAAAAATCAAGAAAGGATATATAGAATGCAGACGAGGAGTCACAATAACGTGGCTGAAATATGTTGACCAGACCACACACTAGAAAGTAAAGGGACGACGACGTTTCGGTCCGTCCTGGACCATTCTCAAGTCGATTGTGAATGGCACAATCGACTTGAGAATGGTCCAGGACGGACCTAAACGTCGTCGTCCCTTCACTTTCTAGAGTGTGGTTTGGTCAATATATATAGAATGTTTCACCGTGATGTTTACTGCTGCCCTGCGGCTCTTTAAGGCACAGTATCCATGTGGCCTCCGGCATGGATACTGTGTCTACTACTCGGACGTCACCGTGACGAGGACGGTCCACACGCTGGACGTCACCGTGACGAGGACGGTCCACACGCTGGACGTCACCGTGACGAGGACGGTCCACACGCTGGACGTCACCGTGACGAGGACGGTCCACACGCTGGACGTCACCGTGACGAGGACGGTCCACACGCTGGACGTCACGACGAAACTATTTATTATTACGTCGATCTTGTTCGAAATAACAATATATTAAGGCCACGACCTCACAGAAAATCTAATTTAACTAACAATTCCATGAATAATGACGTAGAGTTGTCGACGCCTAAGCGCAAACATCCGTTCAGGCACGCTAGAATGCATTCAAGCCATGCCAGCCAGCTGGCTTCACGACGCCAGCCAGCTGGCTTCACGGCGGCGTATATTTCGTGTCTGGAATGATTTTCTCTCAAAATGTCTGTCATATGACACTCAAAGGCGAAGACAACCCAGCAGTGCTGATCCTGGTGTAAAACCCTCTCCCGGCCCTCTCCACTTCCTGTTCTAGTCTCTTCTCCTTTTCCATCTCTCTTTTCCATTTCCCATCAATTTCACTCCGTCATTTCCTCCACACTTTTCATAAATCATACACGCCTTTCCCGCAAACTCTCCCCCTTATTCTCTCACCTTCCCTTCCCTCTCTCTCTCCCCCTCCCTCCCATCTCCTGCTCCGTGCCTGCCTAAGCTGGGTATCCCTCTACTCGCTGTAGAGCTTCAGGACAAAAATATCGCCACCGCTACCAACAAACTTTTACAACTCTAACTGCATTTAATTTTCTTTTGTGGAGTCCATTGAGCATTGTCTTCTTTCTGAACTTATGGAGTTTTCCCTTCATAACGTCTTTCCCCATCCTCCTTTGCTTCCCACGCGTAACTAACTCACCAGCTTCATTCCCTCTCATTCCCTACTACTCATGACACTCTTCCCCCTTGTCCAGAGCCTTTACCATGGGGGTGATATTCCTCCCCCATGATGGCATGATAGACGTGACCAATATTGTCTCAGTTACTTTACAAAGTTCCTACACCCACTTTCCTGTCGTTTACGTAGAGTATTAACTACTGAATGTTTCCAACTTCTC